TATCCAGGAAAGAGGCTAGGGAAATTGTTACTCAATGCCAGAATTGCTGCGAATTCTTACCTACTCCCCACATGGGAATAAACCCACGTGGCATTAGACCATTGCAGATGTGGCAGATGGATGTTACTCATATTCCCTCTTTTGGAAGGCTTCAATATGTTCATGTTTCTGTTGACACCTGTTCTGGCGTAATGTTCGCCACGCCCCTAACAGGGGAAAAGGCCTCATATGTGATTCAACATTGCCTTGAGGCCTGGAGTGCTTGGGGAAAACCCAGAATTTTAAAAACAGACAATGGACCAGCATATACCTCTCAAAAATTCCGACAGTTTTGTCGGCAAATGGATGTTACCCATCTAACTGGCCTACCTTATAACCCTCAAGGACAGGGCATTGTGGAACGTGCCCATCGTACACTCAAATCATATCTGATTAAACAAAAGGGGAGTATTGAGGATGTTCTACCCTCGGTACCAAGAGTTGCTGTATCCATGGCACTTTTACCCTTAATTTCTTGAACTCTGATGCCCAAGGCCACACTGCGGCCGATCGCCACAGTTTAGAGCCTGATAGGCCAAAAGAAATGGTAAAATGGAAAGATGTCTTGACTGATCTCTGGAAAGGCCCGGATCCTATTCTTATAAGATCCAGGGGAGCTGTGTGTGTTTTTCCACAGGAGGAAGAAAACCCCCTGTGGATCCCTGAAAGACTCACTCGAAGAGCTCCTTCACAACTCCAGAATAAGAAGGATGGAGGCCAAGTGGGTGATGAAGACTCTCCTACTCGGGATGATGGTTCCTAGTATGATGGGAGAGTTACGGTGGGCCATCATGTCTACCTTCCCCTACCGATGCCAGTGATGCAGAATGCCCAGGTGTTCCCTAGATTTTTCACAACTAATAGAGAGTTGGGGCTTGCCTTTTGCCTTTAGATCCTCAGATACAGAGTTTTCAGGATGAGAGAACCTTGTCATTAGTAGGAAGCTTGTGCTTTACTGTGATTTCTTCATTAAAGGATAATTTTATTCATATGGATCCAGAAAGATCTAATGCTAATCCTTTTGAATTAATGGAAGCTGTGCTAATCTTTCTCCTATGGCAATGATTGCTGGAGGATATAGTGAGAAGGGACAGATTACTTTTGATTGGAAAGGGACATTAGGCAACAGTCTGAGTGAGGGACAGAGCTCTGGATCATCTGATTGGTCCTCCTCCAATGTTAAGTATACCCCTTTTAAGAGAACTAATTATTCAGCTGCTCCAAGTTGTGTTTGGCTGCCCTTTATTTGGGTTGTGAGTAATGATACCTTAGGTAAGAATCAGAAAGAAATAAATTGCTCTGCTTAGAATTGTTTTTATGCATTATGCTGGGATGCTATTAAGCACCCTTTTGCTTTGGTAATGCGCATGCCTCGATTTGTTCCAGTTCCTGTTGAGACGCCAAGTAATTTGAGTTTGTTTAGGGAAAAGCGAGATTTTTGGGATCTCTGCTATTATTGTGGGCCTGATAGCCACCACCGCGGTTACTGCTTCGGTTACCGCCTCGGCCCTTGCACTTTCTGCCACTGTGCAGACAACTCAAACCATTAATGAACTATAGGCCACTGTGACCATGGTCCTAGATAAACAGGCCACTGCCAATTCTCAGATACAAGGAGGCCTGATGTTGGTAAACCAACAGATTAATTTGGTTCAGGAACAATTGGATATATTGTGGCAGATGGCCCAATTGGGATGTGAACAAAAGTTGCCTGGCCTTTGTGTCACTTCAGTACAATATGAGAATTTTACAAGAGCAGCTAACCTGTCACAAGCTCTGTCTCAACATTTATTACAGAATTGGACTTTTGAGTTTGAGCAGACACTCCGTGAGTTGAGAATGGTGATCCTGCAAGTGAATTCGACGCATCTGGATCTTTCTCTGATGGAAGGCCTCTCCTCCTGGATTTCATCTGCATTTTCTTATTTTAAGGAATGGGTGGGGGTAGGATCATTTAGCCTAGTTCTCTGCTGTGGAATAGTGTTGATGCTTTGGATGGTGTGTAAGCTCAGAGCCCAAACAAAAGAGACAAAGTGGTGGTGGCACAAGCACTTGCTGCCTTAGAACACGGAGCCTCCCTGACATTTGGTTAACCATGTTAAAGCAATAGGTCGCTGGCCTCCCAGCTCTTGCACCCCACGAGGCTAGTCTCATTGCACGGGATAGAGTGGGTAGGATTCAGCAGCCCAAGGAGTTGCAAGGCTAAGCACTGCACAGGAGAGGTCTGCGGTATAACGACTTTCTCCTGGGAGATAAGTCATCTTGCATGAAGGTTCTATGTCATGATCTCCTTCCCCCAGAAAAACGACATCGGACTGGTCAGGGCTCTCTCTGGGGATAAGACCCTGGAGAGGAGCTTTGTACATGTTCCAAATTTGCACATGGGGATTTGACCTCTATCTCCACTCCAAAGTTGTGGGTGTCCTATTGCTTCAAAAATAAATGAATAGGGGGAGATGTGAGGAGCCGCCCTCGCTATCGCTATTGCCGTTAGAAGATGGCGCTGACATCTGCTGTCAGTTGGAGTTAACCGTTAGAAGATGGCGCTGACATCTGCTGTCAGTTGGAGTTAACCGTTTAAGCTGTGCCTCTCCCGTGGCGTCATCTGGGGTGATGTGCAAACCACCAATCCCGGCTCTACACGTCTCACTCGGAGCTCCTAGGCTTATATAAGGGGCTGGGTTTCTTAGCTTGGGGTCTCCCTCTAAGAAGCTGATCATCTATCTCTCAAGATGCATTAAAGCTTTACTGCAGAAGGATCCGAGTGTTCTGCGTCGTTCTTGCTGGCGAGACGGTAGCGCGGGACAGGAGACAAAGACTTGACCTATTCAATTTTCTTCAAGGTTGAGAACTTTATTAGAGATATTTTTGTCTGACCAGTTGGGGCTCTTCCTGTGCTGATGTCCAAATTCCTTACAAATACCACACTGATTTATTTGTAGCAGGATCTATCCCGAATGCATCTCCTATCTTGTGGGGCCCCACTTCCTTTCCCCCTTCCATGGCTAGACAAATATTTCAGTGGGGGTCCTCATTTAATGCAGCCAAATTTACTTTGCAGTCTTCCTAGCCTTCCTCTCCACCTGGACCTCAGGATTGCTGTAAACCCTAGTGACTGTTTCTACCAAATCTGAGTCATGAAAGCTATGTTGACAGCCCTGTTATTTTCTTCTGTTTCTGGGTCTATAGGGAAATAGGTGAGATATACTTCCATCAATTGGTCCAGAAAAGCAGTTGGTGGCTCCTTAGTTTCCAGGAATACCTGAATGACTTTAGATAAATGTGTGGGTTGTTTTGCAGCCACACAGAGACAACCCAATAAAGTCTGGAGAAAGACCCTCAGGGACTCTTTACCTCCACTCAAATTGGGGTCTCAGTTGGGCCAAATAGAAAGAAAGGCTGCTGCAATGACAGCAGGTATAGTGGTTGCCTTCCATCATCTCCAGATCTAGGTTCCTAGCCCACCTTGATGTTCTTTCCTCTTTTCAATAAGTGAATAGAATTCTTAGGGACAGCAGAAGATCATCCCAGGTATTTCAGGTGAGTATGCTATATAGTTTTCAACAGGGAATTAGGGTATGTATGAGTTTGGTTTTCCAGTTATAAATGTCACTACTACTGAAGCAAACATAGATTCAATAAGGTTCCTGATTCTTGTTTCTCCCTTGTTTGATACACTGTATGGAAGGGGCCAGCCAGAAGAGTGGTATGTGTGCCTCAGGCTTTCAAAAGTAGGCGTGTAAGTCATCGTAGAATGGGTGTGTATACTGGTTGTATGGTTAGGTAGGGAATCTGAATCAGAGATGGATGCCAGGTTGTTTTAAGCTTTTGGGTAGGTGGAAGGTGGTATAGGAAGGGGAGCCTGAGAAAACCAGATGGGGGAGGCAGGTGGGGGTAACACTGGGAGGCTCTGAGTTCTCTGTTTATTGAGTCTGATCATACAGAATCGTTAGGTAGCCTTTCTCTTAGGGAGGAAAGATCAGATTCTGAGGTTTAATAGAGCAGACAGTAGGAATTCCCTTCAACTAGTCTGGAGCTCTTTTGGAAGGTCTTCCAAGTAGAACACACAGGACACTATATATGGCCAGGGTGGCCTGGATTCCAAAATTTATTGTGTAGACTTCAGGATAAATAGAGAGGTTAAAGGTGTCTCCGGGAAGTCAGTTTATTCTAAAAGTCAGACACTTGATCTGTCAGAAAATGTGTAGCTTTCCAGGGAAGACAGAATCTCCTGATTCCTGAATGTTCATCTTGAAGACTTTAAAATGATATGAGACATTGTCTATGGTGTAGTTATTATGGCCCAAAGGTGTAGTTTACCCCATGATCTCAAAGTAAGAGAGGAGACAAATAGTGAATATATAAAGGCAAACAAGGAGTCCAACTTGATAGAGATGAAGAAACCACAGTGACACAGATGGAGTTCAGGGAGATAGGGTGTCAGTAGAGCATGGTCTTGTTCATAGAAAAATGGATCATTCACCCCTTCATCTTAGTCCCAGAGAACAGATGCCTCAGATGCTCCCCATGACCAGATGTCCATGGAGAGCATGAGATATCTCTCATCTCCCTCTGATCTCAGAGTTAATATTGAATCTAACTCCTCCTCTATTGGGTCCCAGATAAAGATGCTGCCAAACACAAAACCATACAGATCACACAAAACCAGAATACCACTTAGGTATTATACAATATGAAATCTACAGCAAATTCATGTCACCTATTACCACAGTACCATTAATTCCAAAGTTAGAGTCCATAGTCAAGAAAGACAATATTTAATGTTCAAACAGACCTCAAATAAAAGAATCCCTTAGAGGGTCCAACTTGTGCAATATACCTATTTCTGTTTCTGGGAATCTTATCGCCAAAGGCATCACTAGAGGTAAGGGGGGTAGAAAGATAGATACAAAAGTTTGTAGTTATTCCTGATGTTAATTTCATGTGCTCTGTACTTGCAGGCTGAAGAGTTTCTGCAGAAGTTTTTGCAGTCCAAGGATGATGTGATTAATGCAATTCTACACATAGACCAGGCACTGACAGAAAAAGAAAAGGAAATTAAAGGTGAGGCACAAGTTAAAGAACTATATCGACTTGACAGCTGTGGAAGGTTTATATTACTTGTAAATCTGGGACACTAAAGTAGATCTTAAATAATAATCTGTGTCTCAATGGCTAATATCAGACATGTGTAGTAACATATGACATCAGCAGTAGCAATGAAGCAGGTGGGGAAGACAGCTTCACATGATACACTTATGCCTTCCTTCTTGATTCCTTTTCCAGTGGAACATGAGAAAACTGTCATTGCACAGAATACAGCAAAAATACAGCAGGAAATGCAACAGCAGACTGAACAGTTGCTGCAAGAAAAAAAGAATCAAGAGGAGCACATAAAACAGTTGACTGAGAAGATTGAGAAGGCACAGGCCCAGTTAAGAGAAATGCAACAGAACAATGAACAGTTGCGGCAACAGAAAACATTTCAGGAGGATCACATTAAACAGATAACTGAGAAGATGGAGAAGGAACAGGTTCAGAAGAGGGAAATGGAACAGAAGAATGAACAGTTGCTGCAACAAAAACAGAGTCATGAGGAGCGCATCAAAGTGTTGACTGAGAAAATGGAGAAGCAACAATCCCACATTAGGGAAATGCAACAGAAAAATGAACAATTGATGCAAGAGACAAAGTGTCATGAGGAGCACATCAAACAGTTGACTGAGACGATGCTAAAAGAACAGACCCAAATGAGGGAAATGCAACAGAAGAAAGAAGAGTTGCTGCAACAGAAAAAGAACAGTTATGAGGAGGAAATGAAACAGTTGACTGAGAAGATGGAGAAGGCACAGGCCCAGGTACAAGAAATGCAACACAAGAATGAACATTTGCTAAAGCAGAAAAAGTGTCATGAGGAATACACAAAACAGTTGACTGAGAAGATAGAGAAGGAACAGGCACTTATGAGAGAAGTGCAACAGAAAAAAGAAGAGTTGCTGCAACAGAAAGAGCAGAGTTATGAGGCGCAAATGAGAGAGTTGACTGAGATAATGGAGAAGAAACAGGTTCAAATGAGGGAAATGCAACAGAGGAATGAACAGTTGTTGCAAGAGAAAAAGAATCAAGATGAGCACATGAGACAGTTGACTGGAGAGATGGAGGAAGCACAGGTCCAGATGAGGGAAATGCAACAGAATAATGAACAAAATCTTCATGAGAAAAAGTGTCATGAGGAGCACATCAGACAGTTGACTGAGAAGATGGAAAAAGAGCAGACCAAAATGAGGGAAATGCAACAGAAGAATGAACAGCTGCTGCAACAAAAAAATTGTCTGGAGGATCACATTAAGCAGATAACTGAGAAGATGGAGAAGGAACAGGTTCAGATGAGGGAAATGCAGCAGAAGAATGAACAGTTGCTGCAACAAAAACAGAGTCATGAGGAGCACATCAAAGTGTTGACTGAGAAAATGGAGAAGCAACAATCCCACATTAGGGAAATGCAACAGAAAAATGAACAATTGATGCAAGAGACAAAGTGTCATGAGGAGCACATCAAACAGTTGACTGAGACGATGCTAAAAGAACAGACCCAAATGAGGGAAATGCAACAGAAGAAAGAAGAGTTGCTGCAACAGAAAAAGAACAGTTATGAGGAGGGAATGAAACAGTTGACTGAGAAGATGGAGAAGGCACAGGCCCAGGTACAAGAAATGCAACACAAAAATGAACAGTTGCTGCAACAAAAACAGAAGAGCCATGAGGAGCACATCAAAGTGTTGACTGAGACAATGGAAAAGGCACAGTATCAGGTGACAGAAATGCACCAGAAGAATGAACAGTTGCTTATGCAGAAAAAATGTCATGAGGAGCGCTTTAAACAGTTGACTGACCAAATGGAAAAGGCACAAAACTGGATGAGGGAAATGCAGCAGAATAATGAACAGTTGCTGCAAGAGAAAAAGAATCAAGAGGAGCACATAAAACAGTTGACTGAGAAGATGGAGAAAGCACAGGAACAGACGAGGGAAATGCAACAGAAGAATGAACAGTTGCTGCAACAGAAAGAGAAAAGTCATGAGGAGCACATAAACCAATTGACTGAGAAGATGGAGAAGGAGCAATCCCATATGAGGGAAATACAACAGAAGAATGAACAGTTGCTAGAAAAGAAAAAGTTTCATGAGGAGTACATGAAACACTTAACTGAGAATATGGAGGAAACCCAGGCCCAGATGAGGGAAATGCAAGAAAAGTTTGAACAGCTGCTTCAACAGAAAATGAATCACGAGCAGTACATGATACATTTTATTGACGAGATGGAGAAAGCACAGGTACAAATGAGGGAAATGCAACAGAAGGAGGAACAATTCCTGAAACAGAAAGAGAAGTGCTATGAGGAACACATGGAACAGTTGACTGGGAATTTGGAGAAGGCACAGAAACATTATAAGGAAGCTTGTCAGGTATTTAAATTTCTGGAGTTGTTCTCTTCATGTCAAAATATTTCAAAATGTGTTTGTGTATTTGTGTGGGTACATGTAGTACATATCAAGGCTCAAATCAAGACTCAGATTGCCTGGAACTGGAGTTATTGGAGTTATAGGTGCTTGTCAGCCACCTGACTATTTTGCTTGGAACTGAATTCCAGTGTGTAATACACTGTAAATGCAGACCTATCTATCCAGCCTTCTGTTCTCTTCAATTCTCTTCATCTTGAAATGTAATGAAGCCCAAATGGCTGACCATGTCTCCCACCTTGTCCTCTTTATTTCTCAGTGCCTGTTTGATACTCATATGATCATGCCTGTTGATTAAGTTAGTAATGTGTAATGCTGATATACTAAGACATACATATATGAGTGTGTGTGTTAGTGTGTGTGTGTGTGTTAATACACCTACGCTCTTTCTGTTATATTTTTATTTCTTTCTTAAGACTCTATGAACCAAGAATCCTATTCCTCAGATTCTTCTATAGGAGGAAGAAATACAAAAAGCAATATTTTAAAGATACCTACACTGGAGTATGATTTTTTCCCAGAGTGAATCCACAAAGGTAGTTTCTCTATCTTAAATGGTAAGAGATTATTTCTAAGAGAGTATTTATGAGGAGAGAAATGATTTAGCCCTCACAAGTATGTGACAGTCTGTCTGTCCCTCCTTTTTCCTGTGCTCTACTCTCAATTTGTTTTCATTTGGGAGTTAGATGAGGAATTTCATTATCTTCAGTTTGGATCTCTCATATTCTTACCTTCATCTGTCACCCTTCTACCAAATTCTGGAAGCTTATACTAAATTTCTCATTCCCATCCTTCTTTTATTCTCTATCCTTTTCTCTCTCTGATTGTACACATTTGTGCATGTGGGTACTTACCCATCTATGCACATGAATGTAAAGGCCAGAGATCTACTTCCAATTTCCTCTGTCAACCCAACTGTTTTTAAACCAGGTTCTCTTACTGAATCTCAAGTCCATGGATGGGGCTAGTCTTGATGACCAATATCTGCTAAGGTCAAGGATCTAATTATACGTGCCTTCTAGGTCTGGTATTACAGAATAGTACTGTATCTAGTTATCATATGGATACCTCAGACTCCAGCAGAGATATTCCTGACTTAGCCACATCCCCATCTCCACCCCTGACTATGTTTCTAAGATTAATATTCAAAGTCTTAGTGATATATTCAGAATTCATGCCTTGCTGCATGTTTACATACAGGGTGAGTAGGAGGATGTATTGAAGTCTGTGGAGGTAAAATTTGAATATATATCCATGATTTTGTACAGAGTCTATAGGCAACTGAGGAAAAAAATGAACACTGGCAACTTAAATTCATCAATGGTATTGTTACTTAACTAAAATAAACTCAAACAAAAATGACCACACCTGCCCAAATTCCAAAAAGGAAAACCAAAAGCAACCTTCTCAACATTAATATTTATTCACAAATAAAAACATCTTAAAATTATTATAGAACTTAAGGGTTGAGTAAATTTTAAGAAATTAATAATAATAACTATTATGGAAATAACATAGAACGTGAGGATCAGCTCAGTGTGATGATTCATTGTCTCTACTTGCCACTTTTTAGAAACGTGAAGAACTGCAGAATGAGTCAAGAAAACTTCAAGAACAAAGACATCGCTTGAAGGAAAACTCATTTGTGAAAAGCTAAAGGACTAAAGAGTAGTGTTTGAAAAGCCATTCAAATTAGAGCTGAATAGTATATATAATTAGGAACAAAAGTGGCACTTATTGAAAAGAGGTGAAAGGATATTCAGTGTCATGTTTCTAATGATATTTATCTTCATTCCATTGACATCTTTACCACATGAGAGGTACTAAAGGAACCACTCAGAAGAAAGTCTCTTTTTCAGATGGTCTCAAGGATCACATGGACACTTACCACATTCTTAAATATTGTTATATAACTTAAACCAAATAATCCAGGACTGTGATGGATCAGAAAAAGCCAGTCCCATATCCTACATTGTAAAATTATCCCTTATATCCAAAATGATAAAATTATCGTCAATGGCATGTTTGTGGACACTGGTGATGAATAATTCTATCAACACACTCAATTATACATGAGGACATCTGCATTGATATCTAGAGAACCTGTGTATAGTATCTACAGAAAAAGGGAAGAAGGCATTATCACAAGAATCTAAATAAGAATTGCAGGTGCCAAAGATATGAATGTCTCAGTTCATGTAGATTGAAACTGCAATGAGAGGTTTCAAATTTTAACTTTTGACACTGATTTCACACTAACATAATGAACTAAGTAACTTTAAAGATGGATGTTAAATGATGATGGGTATTCTACATCAACGGCATTTTAATATTTCATGTGCAGCCATAAATTTACACTACTCTTTTTGTATTATTAGCACCTGTACCTGAAATCCTGTTGATTCTTACCCAAGAATAATAAAGATTATTTTCCCATATTTTGACCACTTCTTAGTACTACTGAGTATGTTTAAAATATATCCCAAGTGCAAGATGTGAAAAGTAAATATTTAGCAGTTATTAAAGGACTTAAGAACTTGTAGGAGGTGTGATTCAGTGGGTAAAATGCTTCCTGTGCAAACATGAGGATGTTCATTCAGATCTCATTACCCACATAGCAAACGAGACATGGTGGTACATATATGTAAGCCTAGCACTGAAGTTGGGGAAAGGGAAGAAAGCATCAATGGTGTCTACTAGTCAGTCAACACCATCAACAGAAGGTCTCTGATTTCACCGAGAGACCCTGTTTTAAAAATAATATGGAAAAATATTGAGAACAGGGTCATGCTGTTTTCTAGAAATTAGTACAACCAGATTTAATTTTATTAAGCAAATTAAATTAGTCTCAGAAAGACAAATATATGCTTATTGTGATATACACCTCCTGACTGACAAACAAACGAGCACTATGTATAATGAATATATGCAATGAAATTATGAAAACCATTTCTCAGCAACAAAGAACATTTTTTAAATAATTATTCTTACATCTCCATATAAATACTTTGACATTTCAGTTAAGTCAACCATTTTCTCAAAGAAAGCATAAATCAAAAAACTCACTCTATTTGTTATTCCTGGGTTTCTGCAATAAATTACTTGGTAAAAGTAATTGAATAAGAAAGGGTTTTTTTTTACTTCCCTCTATGGGTACTGTCCATCATGACAGAGATATCATGGCAGCAGGTAATTTAACACTGCAGGATTTTAGAGATTTCGTTACCAATATGATGGATTATGCAGTAAAAGACAATTATGATATTTTTCATATGTATATGTGTGCCATGCTTGTGATTAGTGTATTAATACATGTGCATATGAATCGAAAATTACAGTCAAAAGTTCAGGAAAAATGTGATTTAGTTACCAAACAGATAATTTGGAATTTGATCAGAACAATTTTTGAGGCACATTTAACTCACTGTCTACTACATTTATGGCTAAGATTGAATATAACCAGGTGGAACTTTCCAAATTTGCAGAGTCAATTCCAAAATTAGAGTAAAAAATTCAGGAACAAGGGGATTTAGTTAAATTTGATCAGGACAACCATTGAGACACATTCAATTCAATGTCCACTACATTTATGGCTAAGATGGAGTCTAACCAGGAGGAATTTTCAAAATTAGCAGGGTCACTTCAATCTATGTCTGTCAATAATGACTATCTAGTGGACCGAATGTTTTTTCTGGAAGGAAAAATAGATGCCTTTGGAGTTTTTAGGGAGGATGGTATTAAAAGCTTGGAATCACGTTTATCTGAACAGTCCAAAGACTTAAAACAATTTTTAATGCAGGAAATCCAAGACCTCAATGAGCAGTCCAAGGACTTGGAACAATTTTTAATTCAGGAAATCCAAGACCTAAAGGATGACATGGTTGCAAAATTTCAATCTTTAGAAGATACATCATCTGAAACATCAGATGTTGAGTCAACAGATGCTAGGCTACCAGGAAAAAATGAAATATGACTACTAGACATCCTAAGGTGGCCTTCCCAGTAACTATGACAGAAAGGCCAGCATCACGAAGGAACCAAACTGGTTCCACTACACATAAATGGGAACCTATTCCGATGAAAGCTATAAAGCAAGCGATAATGGCTTTTGGGGTCCACAGCCCTTTTGTAAAACAGTTACTTAACACATGGGCTACTACTAATAAGATAACTCCCTCAGATTGGAATGACTTAATATCTGCAGTGTTGGACCAGTCTTCCCAAATACAGTGGAAAGCTTTGTGGAGACAGGAAGCCAAGGCGCTTGAACTTCAATTTTTGAAGGATGGTATTGAAGCTTCTGACAGTAAGATAATTGGGGAGAAGCAATTTTCTGACCTGCAAGTCCAAGCTGGTTATGATGAGCATACATTTGATTTATGCAAAACAGCAGCACTAAATGCTTTGGATAAGGTTCATGAACCAGGGCAAAAAGTTGAATCTTACTCAAAGTGATACAGGGTCCGAGAAAAAGATTCTATGAATTCTTACAAAGATTATCCAGAGCAGTAGATTTACAAATAACTGATCCTAATATTAGGCGACTTCTTACAGAATATTTGGCTTATGAGAATGCAAACCCACATTACAAACAGATACTGTGGCCATTAAAGATAAGATCAGCAAGATTGGAGGAATGGGTCTTATATACAACTAATGTTGAGTATGACAATCCCGAGGCAGGGACCTGGATAGAAGAAGCCATTTCTAAAGGATTTAGGAAGAATCAGGATGAAAAATGGCCTATCCAAGAGGAGATACCAAATTGAGTTGGGAAGCAATCTTCAGAAGTTGCAAAAGACATCGAAACCTTAGATGTTTTAATTGTGGTAAAATAGGACATTTGAGTAGGAATTGTAGACAAAGCATTCCAGAAATAATGCTTCTACCAGGAATGTGTCAAACAGAAGATGGAAAAGGAAGACATTGAACCAAAGAATTTTGGTCAACCACAGACAGACAAAGTAAGCCTTTGCAGCCAGGAAACGCGACCAGGGGCCTCCCTGTAGAGGCCCCAAGATCAAAGGTGATTCGATCTTTCCCAGTAACAGTGGAGGACAGCCTCTCTCAGGACAATTAGAAAATCCACAGCCTATCATAAAGTCTAATGGCACTGTGAATAACAGATAAGTTATTGAGGAGGAGCTAGTTGATACTGGATAAACAAAAAAGGTATATTCTGGCAAACTTCATTAAAAGATCGTAGACCCAAATTAGCTGTAAAAATGAATAATAAATTATTTTGGGGGGTTTTAGACACTGTACAGATGTAACAATAATAAATAAAAAAAAACTGACCGGTAGGTTGGCTCTCTAAAGATGTAAATGTGAAACAAAATGTCAGATGGATAGAATGTATTGTACCAGAAGGGCAGAGAGGAAGTTCGAGACCATATGTTGCAGATATTGCTATGAATCTTTGGGGTTGTGATTTATTACAGCAATGGAATACCCAAATTAACATTCCTCCTGTATCAGATATGAATCGTAGACAAACTCTAGATGGTAGAAGAAATGTTGGAAGGCATTACAGAAAGCAGATGCCAAACATACAGGCTGTACAAAACAGGATGCTAATGTCAAACCTACAGAGCAACTGAAAGCTCTGCTCATAAAATGGCTATCAGATGAACTTGTCTGGATAGATCAATGGCCTATGACATCTGAGAAGTTAGAGGCTTTGGAGAAGTTAGTTCAGGAACAGCTAGATGCTGGACATATTGAGGAATCAACTAGTGCATGGAATTCATCAGGTTTTTTTGTCAAGAAGAAGTCTGGTAAGTGGAGAATGGTTACTGATATTAGAGCCATCAACAAGGTAATTCAACCTATGGGGTCTCTACAACCTGGTTGTCACTACCTACTCTAATACCTAAGGATTGGCCAATTATAGTTAGAGATTAAAAGACTGATTCTTCACCATACCATTACAAGAAAACGACAGAGAAAAGTTCACCTTCACAATACCTACCTATAATAAATCCCATCTGGTAGAGAGATTCCAATGGAAAGTACTGCCTCAAGGTATGTTAAATAGCCCAACTTTGTGTCAATATTTAGAGCATAAACCTCTAGAAATAATTCGCAAAAAATTTCCACATTCGTTAATATATCATTATATGGATGACATATTACTGTGTGATTCAAATAGGGATACTTTGGTAAAGGTGTTTGAAGCAGTAAAGGAAACTTTGCTTCGCTGGGGATTACAAATTGCCCCAGAAAAAATACAAAGAGGAGATTCTATTAACTAGGTTATAAAATGACACTCAAAAATTAGACCGCAGAAAGTACAGATCAGAAGAGATCATTACTGGACTCTTAATGATCTTCAAAAGCTATTAGGAGAAATCTCTCAATTACAGACAATTATCAGTGTAGAAGGGCATGATTTAAAACACCTAAAATGGCTTTAAAAGGAGATAAAGACCTAAACAGCCCACGAGTACTATCGGCTGAAGCAGAAAAAGAATTAGAAGGGGTGGAATAGAGAATATGATAAACACATGTGGAGCATGTGGATCTGAAACTGGACTATATTCTGGTTATTTTACCATCTAGAGAATACCCCTCAGGAATATTAACGCAGAGGGAAGACATCATACTAGAATGGGTATTTCTGCCACATACCATAAAAAATTGAAAACATATATAGAA